CAACAAGTGGCCCCACTGAAATGGAGGGTTAGGCGAAGTAGACCACGAAACTACTTGGATCATTTTTCATCCTTCTATTCTCGGATGACGTTATTGAGTTAAACCTGGAGTGACTTTCGTTCGCATAACTACTTGTCTTGTTAATGCTAGCAGCTCATTTAGCTTGAGGTTGCCTGCCAAGTCATTACCAACCCAATGGTGTCGCAAGACAGTCTTTCTTCTACTTGCCAGTGCTAAACATTGGCACAATATATTTTCTTTTCTTCTATACATAGTCTGCAAGTGTCTTCCTCAGCAAGAGTTATCTTTTTGAGGTGATACTCCCTGTCCCACGGTTTCGACAACATGACTTTGGTCTGTCTACAAGTGCTCAACTCTCTCCATCTATTGAGGTGAAGTGAGGTTATCCATTTATAGATATTGGTTCTAAATCAAATAGGTAAAATTAAGCCTACAGCAATTACAAGATTTACAAATAGTCTAAAATTATTTCAGTTGCGGACAATAGTTCTTTTAGGTCAGCGTGCATTCATAGCATATTACTTAATAAATAAAGAATAAAATAAAGTAAAATTGTTAATAAAAACTTTCATAGTAATAGTAACAAAACTCCAGAAAAATATGTGAACAAAAAAGTCAAGTACGGCTTTGGATAAGTTGGTTAAGGTGCGCTGATTCTGAGCTTCACATTTGGCAGGACCCGAGTTCGATTCCTGGTACTTGCAGTCTCAAAAATAATTATTTACGAATACTTAAATACAAGAATTATTTCCAAGACCACTGATGATGGGTATTTGGCAATACTTGAAACAGCTGTATGGTCAGCCAAAAATTCAATTAATTAAAATTATATAAAAAATAAATTTTTGTTGTTGTATTTCACTACTGTTCGAAAAAACCTCTTTATATAAATAAAGAAATAAATTTATTGATTTAGAAAGTTAGAAGTATGTATAAATTTTATTTTATTGGCTTTTCTCTTATTCTCATTTTAAAATCTTAGTTAAAATTATCAATGACGTTTCCATATATTTTCAATTTCAATATCGCATTTAAGATTCATATAAAACTGTAAATCATAAGTTCCTCGTGACTCACTTTAGCCATTCACACAGAACATTTGTATGAGTGGTTTTACTGTTTTAATTCCATTTTAGAACGCTGATTTATATCTAACCAAGATTTACAATATCATTTGCCATAAAACAACCATGATAAAGTACATTTCCTCTTTTGTGGCATCAGAATAAAGATAGAAATAAAAATAAAAATAAAAATAGGCAACCCAAACCCAATAACAACAATAACAAAAGGATAAATACTCGTATAAAAACAAAATGTTAAAACAATTTGTTTACAGTTGACAGAGTGTTAAAGATCATTGGTAGCAGTGCTGGTAATGGTAGGAATGGCGCTAAGGTTGGTAAGGGTGTTAAGGGTGGCACCACTGGCACCACTCGTACGAATGTTTTGACTAAAAATAGTGGAGTTCATAAGTGAGCGTACGTTTGTGGCTGTGGCTGTGGCAGGCGTGTATGTGCTTCGTTCATAGAATTTTATGAGTTTGCTCCTGCTGTGCTGCTATGGCCATTTTGTAAGGCAAACTGCGGTTTAATTTATGGCAAAACAAAATGACAACAAAATCCACCATAAGGTGGTTGACGATGTATCTAAAGCAATTCAAGTTCGAGTTATCTACCAGAAGGGTAATTAAAATTTAAAAGGATATTAAGCAGCGAAAAAAACTAAACATTTGCACTCATAAATAAACCCAAAATAAAAACCGCAAACACCACACAGCTCCAGAGATTCTGCGTAATACAGGACCAATGTGTCCCACCTCAGAACTTTCACAGCTAACGCCAAAGTAGCAGACTTTGCTTATATCCTTGCTATGCAATTGTTAGCTGAGCAAACTGTGATTAAAGCAATTATCGTTTCGCCAAAAAGAAATTCTTACTTCTCGCATAAATAGTTTGAAAATTTTACACACAGACATTTGTGTTGTATTTCTGTGCGACTTTAACTTTTGCAATTGAAATTCATATAAAAACATTACAGATGGCGTGCCATTTGAAAGGAGGTAACTATCATGCCATCCATGTCTGTTCCTATGAGTTTACAATGTAATCTAATTAGTGGTTAAGGTTGTTTCAGTAATTTGAAAAAAATTTCAGTCTTGTCGCAATAACAATGTATATACATATATATAGACATAAGTTAACACCTGCGCCCTCTTGAATCCGTTACCTGCGCTTGGTTTTATTAACGGCAGAATCATGCGATATTCGATTCGAACGCATGATTGCTGCCAAACGGGACTTCAACTTGTTTTTCTGGAAAAGTTACATTTGGTTTTGGTAGTTCTCAACTCCACGAAAGTGTGCTCGTTCACTTTTATTTGAGCTATCACAGAAGAAGCCCTAACAATCCTCAAGTACACTTCTGGATTCTCAGGAAGATATACTGATTTAAGGTCCGTCATCAACTAAAAGACAAATAAATGATATGATTTCTTAGTCTAGTTAAAGTTACTCATTATAGAGTAAAAGTGCGTAATAGCACTAACTTAAGAACAAGAAGAAGAAGAGAAGAAGAAGAAATACATAAAACAAAACATTGTTATAATATTATTATTATTAATAATTATAATTAATATTAATATTATTATTATCCCCAGAAGGGTACACAAAAGACCCGACGATAGCAGTGCCACATCCCCTAGTAATATTAATAATATAAATGAATGTACAGAGTTAAGCGATTGAAGTGTTACCTATTCAAGCTAACATATCTTTTCTGTGTGAAATTTTTTTTTTATTGATTCAAATTACAAAAATTTCTGGGAATAAGCAAAACTTAAGAACCCATGCACTCCAGCTCGATGTGCATAAAGGCTACCTTTTGCCTTGACTATGGTTTTCAAACAATTAAAATTGAGTTGCTTGCTTTACGAATGATCTTCCGATATTTTTTCCCATTCCTGAACAATGGCTTTCTTCAGTGCATTCATACTGACATATTTTTTAGTCCTCACCGTGTTCTCTAAAATGGCCCAGATAGAGCAGTCAGATGCATCGGTTTTGCATTTGGCGAATTCGAAAACCATTGTGTGGACGGAATGAAGTGTGGAACATGATTTTTTAAACATTCTTGCTTCACACGAGGTATATAAGACTGAGACCGGTGCCGAGTCTTGCTGGAACTTCCATGGTCTACAACTGAAATGTTTGCATGCGCACGATTCTAAAGCAACTACCAAAACATTTTCCAGATAATAAGTCGCGTTGACCTCAAATCAGGTTCGATGAAGATGATTGTAGAGCGTCCATCAGCATTCACAGTTGTCTATACCATTACTTAAAATGGGAAATTACTTCGGGTGGCCATTCGTAGTCTCAAATTTTTGACAATGCGTTCAGTTAGGTAAACACGATCATTTTGAGAGTTTATGAATTGCTCAATGCGGAAATTTTTCTCATCAGAGAGCACAACGTTTGAAAATGCGCCACGTTTGTGCCAGCATAACAACTCCATTGCTCTTTCTAGCCCCGAAAGTCATTATCCGTTATACTTATCTATATATGAATATATATCTTTCATTACTCGTATAATTATTATAACCCCAGATTATCATATATATCAAATATATCAAATTAATTATGAATATTGTACAAGAGAGTTCCTAGTTTTTGGAATCCTCATATGTACAGATATAAAATCAATTCGATCCAATTTCTGATAACCTCACGATGCATTCTTAGATGAACAGTTTGAAGTATCAATATATGATAATGAAAATATGATATTAGATTTTGTTTGAATCATTTAGAATTAGATTCACATAAAGTATAAGTGTATTAAGACATAAGTAATACCAAGGCGTAAGGATATGTCATGTATATGTCATACAACGAAGAGCTGTTCTATATTACACTCCACATTGCCATCTATACAAATAAATGCGTAAGCTTGCTAAAAAGTTTTAAAAACATTTTCCTGTCAACGTTCGTCAATTTATCCATATCAAGTTTATAACATTTTTACAAAAGTAAAGTATTAATCATTTATCAATAAAAAAGCAGAAATTTTTATAAAACTTATAAAAAAATTTCATTAACAGTCGCCAGTTAACTGAAAAAGTATAGGCCCATGTCCTAAATACATGTCCAGTGTTTTCAACTACATCTACTCAGGTATATCAATACAAATACAAATAAACCAATCACAAACAACTATGACCAGAATCTAACAGGTATCGCATCTCTCCTGTTCAACGGATCATGATGGTACCTCTACAACGCAATCACACCCAAGCGGCGCCAGTGATGCCCCAACACAGTGATGGCTAATCACCGGAACTATGTATGTGTAAGTAGATGTATTGATCTTAGCCCTACAAATATAATTTGCTAGCATAATTATTAGTTCAAGAGGACTATATCGATAATATTGGTATGTTTATGGATTTGGTATGTAAGTTAGACATAGGTATTGGTAGGGCTAAGTATAACTTTTATATATACTTTTGTAGTTATAGTTTCTCCGTTGCTGTATTTCAGTGACTATCTATCACTGTGTTCGGGTATCGCTATTCAGCTATATACTGAGGGTATGACCTTGTAACCATTATTTGGTTATGAGGGCATGACGGTGACAAATGTCCAGTCTGGTCCGAGGAGTTTAAGGTTTGAGCACAAACCTGACTTGACTTGTTCACTACAATACTAAACTGTATGTAGTATATTGGTTCACAAAGAAAAATATGAGTGGCTCGCGGGTACTATACAGTGATGTACCAATAAATAGTGAATAGATAGCATAAAACTGCAGCTAATCGATTACATTATACGTTGTATAAACAAAAAAAACAAACAATACTGCAGGATAAATTAAATTGTAACGACTTGGTATGTCATAAACAAACTGTCAATTTTTTAAAATCTATTGTGAACTTTATAAAGTTTTGAATTTAACTGAAAAATTTTTTTATCTGCTAAATTAATATTACCAAATTCTTTAAAAAAGGATTTGAATTGATAGTAATTCGTCTCGAGTTGAGTAAGTGCTTCTAAGTATAATGGCAAAACCGAACTTTACGGAATATCAGTTGTGGATGGGAAATGTAAGTAAATAATGAACGAATGTGTTATTATTAAATTAAATTTGTAAAAATTTTTAGCTGGAACGTTATATGGATGAAGACTTCATATTTAAAGCATTTCGTAAGATGAATGAAAATCCAGACTCTGTTCGTATGATTCACGAAAAAAACGGCGATAATGCTGGATATTGCTTTATTAATTTTCCAACTGACAAATTGGCATTGAATGCCATGAATAAGCTAAATGGTATGATGATTCCAGATACTATGCCACCAGTGCGGTTCCTTCTTAATTTTGGCACCCGAAACTATCAGCAAAATTTATATAGTGCTTGGATTGGAGGCCTGTCGTGTGAAGTTGATGACTATGGGTTGTTTAAGACATTTGCACAAAAGTATGCTTCCGTAAAAAGTGCTAAAGTAATTCTTGAGAGCTCAAGTCGAAACAATAGATATGGATTTGTAAGTTTTAGTTCAAAAGTTGATCTTTTGGCGTCCATTAAGGAAATGAATGGATACGTTGGCCTCGGAACCAAAGCGTTAAAAGTTCGTAATGCCACAAGTAATAACAAGAGTGAAAAGCTTCGAAACAGAAGTAATTCTGAAAGTAAAGCTGCTACCAGTTGTGATATTACGCTAAACCCCAACTGTAGCATTTATCATGATTTCAACTTACAAGGTGCTAGTACTTTTCAGGATCCTATTAGCCGGATATACCTGGAAAATATGAAGTGGCCTCACTGCTTAAAAGATGTTATCTATTGTGATTTTAATCAAAATCAATATTCCTCGATCATGGTGCAACATAGCCCAACAAATAACCAGTCGGCAAACGAAGAGTCCGAGACAGGGTCAAGTCAAAGTACTGATTCAAATGTCAAAAAATACTACAATTTGGATCAATATACTAATCGCATCTATTTTACCGGTTAACTTTAGCATTATTTTAAATGTCTCTTGAAAATTTATTATGTTTTATTAGTCTGCTATTTGCATTTTAAAATTATATCAGTTTCAGTTCAAATAAATGTGAGATTTTTTAATGCCACATTCTAAATGCATTTTAAATATCATAATTTCTAAATTATTTAATATATTATAATAGCGTAATTTATGTAGTCAAAATGATATCTTCCGTACGTTCTGAATCAGGCGGTATTATCGTGCCTTTGGCATATTAGAAAACAATTCCGGTTAAAATTCATACTATCCATAGAGATATTTATGCCAAAGACTCACTGATGATTATGTGATTTAGAGAGACGAACATTAATCAGGAATATAGATAGTACAGGTCATTTACTTCCTTAAAAGACTCTTCTCCAGTTTCGCAACATAAAAAAATTACAATCATTAAAAATTCTCATTTATTATAATAATCGGTTCTGCCCTCTTCAATCTATTGAAGCCTTTAGGTTTCATAACTACGAGTATTAAAACTCCTTATACTGATATAGGACGTTCGTTTGAGTTCAAAATAGGTTATTAAATTATAATTAAATTACGAAAATCACTTCAACAATAACATTTTCTTCCCGATATTAAAATGTTTTTAACTTGGTTTACCTTTAAATATACTAAAATATGCAGAAAAATAGACCTAGCGTTAAAACATTTGAAATGAAATATCACTCAACATTGTACAGTGTTATATGTTTTATCATACCAAAAGTAAATACATATAAAAAACAATTGTAATTAGAATTTTGATTAAATATATATTTCATAATCTGCTTTCGAAGTTAGCAGATAATCGAAGTTCACGAATGTGATATTTCAGGCCATAATGATTCGTAATGAAACCCGATCTCAACCTTAAATTACCTTTTGAGAATTTAAGAATGTTTTTGTAGGAGTACGGTTTGCTCAGTGCTTTACTTTGTCTAAGTTCGGGAAAGTGTTTCCAGTACACCAGTCGCACTATAATTCTCTCCCTCCTTGATTATTTGTTTTGTACCAGCCCAGTTTAACACAAAAAAGGGATGAGAGCTAGCAAATGTAGTTTTTAATGCAATTCTGATGCTGATAGGCTATCAACCCATATGCGACCTGGAACCCAGTAAGTCTTACCTTATTCCGAGCTGCAAGTAACTATAGAAGTTGATTGCATGAATTTTAACTTGAAAGACACTTGGTCATATGCCTAGTCCCTCTGAAATTCTGGTGCTGGGCCTCTATACATTAGCACCAGTGCATGCATCCATTCTTGATCTATTAGTGTACCAAACCAAACTTTTTGGGACAACCTGTGAGCTGCTCTTTTACGACGTTGAACGTGGTTTGAGGTAGGTCTACCTCAAATTTTCTGCCAAACCAATAGAGATTTATTATTTTGTCTGCATCACACTGAAGTATTTTGTGTGGTGCAAGTGTTTTTAATATTATTCCACGACTGTAATCAAGACAAACTGTGCTCATATGGAGTTTTAATTGGAGCGCATTAAGCGCAGCTGTAGATTATATATTTATATGCAGAGGTGTCAACCTAAGTATAGCCTCAAGTGCTACAGTTGGACTAGTTATCATAGCACCAATCAATTAATAACACGCAAGTCTTTAAAGCTTCGTGCAAACAGTAATAGATTCAGCCTATGTGACCTTTTGCCACAAGACTAGGCAAAAGGTGTGTGCCCCTCAGCCACAAAATAGTAAAAGTGCGTAATAGCATTTACTCAAATCACAACAGCAACAACAACAACGGGACTAGGCAACCACATGTCATGATAAGACGAACTACTGCCAGATATGTTCAAAGTATTATGTTCGGGTTGTGGCCCCAAGTTTAACTATATAGGACCACGTTGTCCAAAAAGCACTTAATGTAAGCTTTAATGTATACTTTATTTAAGTGTGTATTGCAAGTGAGTTTACCATCAAGGACGAGTCCTAGGTACTTTATTTCACTTGAAAGAGGAATATTAGTGTTTCTGAAACATACAAGACCTATGTCTAACTAACATTGAAGTGTGAAATGAACAACAACAGTTCTTCTGTGTTTATGGAGAGACTCTCACTTTCGCATCACCTCAAAATCCGTCGAAGTTGTTCTACGATGATCACCTAAAATCAATTCTGGGAAGTGCAAAAATTAATTTTGTCTATAGGGGCAACACCCCTGCTAATAAAAGTGGAACAATATTAAAATTGGAATAAAGATTGAGTTGATAAAATTTTTCAATGAAACCTTATTATTGTTAACCATTTAACTTATTATAATTTTGTATATCGAGTAAGCTAAGAAAATTTGATTTTTTTTTTTGTTAAAATTAATGAAAGAAAAATTTAATAATTTTTTTAATATACATCACTTTTTGTGTCTAACGGAAACTAAGGTATAGAGAAGAGGATATTGGTGCTGTTACTTGGTTTTCGGTTTCGATCATAGTTTTTGATTAAAGTAGAAATACTTTAACAAGTTCATTTCAGGAGTGGATTTTTGGATTTCAAGAGTTGCTCACAGGTACTTTTACATTTTTTAAAAAATAAAGTAACACGTTTAATAAATTGTCTGCAATTTTGAACACTTGTCTTTCCAAAATCATTTTCGATATTATTAGCTCCATTTTTTTAGGACCATTTCTCCAAGGACCATTTTTTTATGATCACATATACTACAGACTGCGCAGCATATGTCTGTAGTATAGCCATTAAATCACTGTTGTTTTATCTATTATGTGGTTGAGGTCTTGATTGTATTAAGCGCGAAAAATGTCGTCATGTTCTCCAACTGCACCAAACATGTTATTTCAAAACTATACGCTTAAAGGTAATCAATTTTCTAAACTTACTAATAGAGTTAGGTAGACAGTGGAATTATATATTCCTATGTTTATCGTTCTATAAAGATTTTTTGACTAAAAATATTAAAAAGAAAAACTCGTACGTTTTAACAAACTACTCATAGTTAAATAACATCCAAATACTTAATGTACGGCCCTATTATATAGAATAGTTTATACCAACGTGTTTTAATCACGGCAGATGAAACGGATTTTATATATTTAGATGCATATGACACCTTAGATGCAATAACGCAGATTCCATAAGTCGAAATATGTATTCTGAACCATACTCATCACCTCACATAATCTCACTACCATAACTCAAGTTAAAAAATTCGTTCAGACTTTGAAATACGTCAATCTGAACAGTTTTGTCTTTGTGATCAAAACTCCAGCTTCTGGAGCTTTGTCACTGTCAGGGCCTCATAACAATATCATGGTTACAAAGCTATGTTCTCAGTATATTGCTCAACGAAAGTACCTGGACAACAATCACCTAGACAACCGCCACTTTCTAAAAATGATGATGGTTTGTTCTTTTAAACAAACCATTTTTTTTAGATTAAAAACTATTTCCATAAGTAAGATTGCTTCCTTTGGCAACCGTTTGGATAAACGTCATAATTCGACTTTATTGAAATTAATTATTAATTAATTTATTAATTATTGCAAATAAAAAAACAAAAGCAACAAAGAAATTTTGATTAAATTTTGGTTATGGAGACGAGGCTTTCTGTGCCTCCACACGTTGCTCTGAACAGTGTTACTGAGCAAAAATAATAAATTCTTTTATTATTTATAATTATTATTTATAATTTATTATTTTTGTACTGAGTAATAAATATCAACATTTTTCCGTTTAGTAGGACTTATTGTTGTTGTTGTTGTGGTTTGAGTTTGTGCTATTGCGTACTTTTACTCTTTTGTGGCTGCGGGGCTCATTCCTGCCCCACACTAAGTTTTAACTATACTAAAATTATTATCATTTATTGATCTTTTAACTGATGACAGATCATAGATCAGCATATCTTCCTGTGCGTTCTGAAGTGGACTTAAGGTTTGTTAGAGCGGGGTTGAGCAACGTATCGACTTTTGTGAATATTTTTAGGGCTCTGTCCTTGATATATTTTTTCACTGAGTCGATCCCTAGATCTCTATGCATGCCTGTTGTTGTAATATACCAAGGAATCTTAATTAGTCTTCTTAAACCCCGATTTTGTGCTATCTGTAATTGCTTTATGGCAGTATTTGAAGCTTTGCATATTTTTTTTGTGGAAACGCTTAAATATTCATCCAAAAAATATCACATCTTAAAGTTAGACACAATCGCCAATTTAAGCAACCAGAACACAACTTTCAATTTGATTCTCTGCATAATATATCTTTATGGAGGTGATGAGATAGAGTATAAGACTGCCGTGACCATTGGTCACATGACTGTCTGATTGTATTCTAAATTATGCAGAATGTCATGAAAAAAATGTCAAGTCATAAGAAATAATTGTGAATTTAATGAAATTTTGAAATTTGCTGTCAAATTGTAAAAAATTTTTATAGTTTTTAGATTTCTTCAATTGAAAATCTTGTCGTTGTCCGAACTAAAACCAGCAGTTACAAAAATGGCGTACCCACTAATTACTGACTATCAACTTTGGATGGGAAATGTAAGTATGTTCTCAACTAGTTAAAGATAAACTAAAACCGATTTGTATATTTTTATTAGCTGGAATCGTACATGAATGAAACATTTATCAAAGCGGCCTTTCGTAAGGTTAATGAAAATCCAAAGTTTGTTAATATAATTCGTGATCGTCAAAGTGGTCAAAGTGCTGGATACTGTTTTATTAGGTTCAAAGATGATCAAACCGCTTGGAATGCAATGAATAAACTTAACGGAAAATTAATTCCGAACACCGATCCACCCGTTCGTTTCAGACTCAACTTTGCATTGCACGGTGAGAAAAATCACGAACCTGTATGTAGTATTTGGGTTGGGTCTTTATCTTCTGACATTAGTCGGTACCAACTGTATCGAGTATTTTCCAAACGGTTCGCTTCCGCAAAAAATGCTTGTGTGATTTATGATAGGAATGGAATACATATGGGCTATGGCTTCGTAGAGTTTGGGTCGGAAGAAGATGCATTTGCATCCGTTGAAGAAATGGACGGGTATGATGGTCTTGGAACCAGGGTTTTAAAAGTCCGTATTTCTACTAAAAACAAAAAAGTTAAATTGCGTTATAATAAAAATGATCAAAATAATGCTGTTCAAAATATTGAGTCAAAAACAATTGCTTTGCCCAAGCGTAAGAATTATCAGCTATATCAACAACCACAACAATATAATCCTCAACTTCACTACAATATGTATCAGCAGAATCCCATGATGATGAACAATGTACAGTACGCTGTGCCTTATGTCTTAAGTCCCGCTCCAGTTGCTATCCCTGTTATTCAGGTACAACAAAATCCTTCATACCTACAACAACCAGGTATTCAATACGTTGCCATGCAATAGCTTGAAGGGAAGGAGCTGAATAAATAAGTAAAGACCGATGTTAATTAGCCTGTTTACCTGGATTGATTCATATAATATTTATTTACTGTTTTACAACTTTGTAATAATGTTTCTTTTTAATTTTTTTTTTTAATTATTTGTATTTTAGTGGTATTCCACGCTTTAATTTCAATACTTAAAAATTTTGTCGAGACTTCTAACATTTTGATTCTTGACAAAAAAAAAATATATATATATATATATATATATAAAACTAATAAATAAAATAAAATAAAATTTTTTTATTACTTAGTAACATTTTCTTAAAGTTGTAGTTTTACAAACGGAGCTTGAAAAGAATATATAGTTCTCCAAAATATGCCGGTACCAATAAAACGATTAGTAATGAAATACGAGATAAGAAAGTTGGAGTAGTTTAGTATCTCACGAACGGTGATTTATTATTATTTCCAATACAATACAATATAATATAAAATAAATAAAATTTTTAAATTATTTGTAAATTGATCTGGATTTTTAATTATATGAAATATATAATATTTATATTATTAATTACAATATGTTATTAGCTTTGTTGTTATATCCTATGCAACTTCCCAGCGGCGGCAAAACGTAGACTCGACTATCTTGAAAACGAAATCATAGTCCCAAATCAAATAGATAAAATTAAGCCCACAGCAATAACGAGATTTTAAAATAGTCTAGGATTTTTTTAGTTGGGCCTTTAGGTGCACAATAGATCTTCTAGGTCGGGGTGCATTCCTAGCCTATTGTTAAATAATAATAATAATAGAGTAATAATAAAATTGATTATGTATTCAAAATTATTTTAGCAGTCTTGCAGTTTAAAAAAAAAAGAAATCTGCGAATACTTAAATATAAGAAATAATTTTAAGACCAGTGATACTGTGATCGGTTCTCGAAATTAAAAAGCTTGATTATTAGCTCAGTAGTATTTCTCTTAACAACGTGTTGGCACTGTCAAATGTCGCCATTTCCCGTGACTTTCTCTCACCAAAAGCTTTTTCTATATTTTTTGTACGATATTTGCCAAAGATAAATGTCTTAGATTTCGTAGAATCTAAACTGCTATAGTGGCATTAAATTAATTTGATTGCCATTAGATGGCGCTTGTAGTTTTTTTTGTTAGTGTAATTAATGCTACTTCAAACCTTGATATCTCGAGAAGAAAATTATTTCGTTATATAGCGTAGCTGAATAGTTGTTATAGTTGTTTTAAATTGCTGGCTCAACTAAAATTTGTTATCAAATTAGCACATCGGGACAATTTGAATTGCGTCAAACATTTTTCTACACCGGTCCCGACGACATTGTCCGCCTTAATGCCGTTTAATATGTTTAAGTTTCATTTAAGTTAAATAGCTTAAAGTATGCTACAGAATGGACGAAAAAGTTCTTTGTTTGTAATTGAATATCATGAAAATATTTATTTAAATTTTTTATTTATTTTTACTTTGTCCAATCAATGATATTAATAACCTGCAAGAAATTTTACCACCCTCTTACTTTAAAACAACTTTTACGCCCTCCGAACAATTTAAAACATTTCAAGAAAGTAAAACGGAATGAAAAGGACATCTCACATTAATTTTCATGGCTTTAACATTTGCAGTAAACGGTTGATTTCCTTTCAATGCAAAGCATTGATTTCACATAAATTTAACAATGGAAAGTGAAATACACTCAACTGCATTTTTATATTTTTCATTATTCTTGCAAGTTGCACATTATGAAACTACACAACACCAACAACTGCAATGAGCATCCTCGATTATCCTTGCCATTCGGTATGTATGAGCTTGCAATCCTTGCGCCATCACTGCAACGTTATGAAGCCAGAAGCTAGTCAATAATACGCGTACAAGATACTTTGTTTACCATTTTAGTGCGCTCCATACTAATGACATCATCCTTGCGCTCTTGCATCATATTACAACTGAAATTGCATTTCGTTGATCCTTGCTTGCTCTTAACCTAGTGGAGCAGCAGTAAGTGCTGTCATTGCAGCTGCAAATATATGCGAAACAGTATCAGCCACAGTCGCTGCATAAGAAGCAAGCTGTCTTATTTATTTCTGCTTTAAGTGATTTCCGTCAATAATTTTAAAGGATTGTAATTCTTTGTCAAAATGCGTATGAAAAATGCATTCATTGTCTTACTTAACATTTTCCTAGATTTTTCCCGTCCCTTCCCTTTATTGTCCTTTTAAGTTTTCCTTTGACTTTGGCTTAATACTGACAGTTTCATGCTGAACTGGCTGAACTAGCTCAGCTGGCTGAGTTGGCTGATGCAGATGCAGATGACGTGGGTGATGTGTTTAATGTAATGAAATATGTTGACAATTTTTTTGTTGCTTTTGTTTTGGGAAAGGATGCTTGCAGAATTTATGGTTATGTGAGATAAACTCTGCGGTCTTGTCAAGTGCATCGCAAACAGCAGAGCGTGTTTACTAATTACAAAATGACAAAATAAATTTACGAAAATTGCTCCGTTTGTGTTGTACTCGTAAGTGCGTGTCCTTCCTGCTAAGACAACCACACAATGTATAATACGCAAATTCATTGAATAATTTTCACGAAGACCGGAGAGATATATATGGTATATTGCGTAATTGTAATAACTCAATAATATACCTTCTATGGTTGGTTGATTGGTTGGTTGCAGTAGCAGTGGCAGGCCATTAGAAAACTTCCACGTACCTCAATTAGCGATTTTTCGCCGTTTCGCTATCACATTCCTCGCAAACATCCTAGTATAGAAGAGTACAGACTAAATCCATTCCGCTGAATTTAGGTAATTTAATAGGTCTTTCATTTTCACCGTTGAGCAGTCTGGTAAACTATCAGACTGCAGTATTTTCCTAAGCAACTATATGTTCTGTAGAAAAGGTATTATTGTTTCTTTCTCCTGCAGGTTTCCACAACATCTGCACTGAGGATTTTGGGGAAGGCGCTGTTTCTCGGCGTGTGTTCCTATACACCAATGACCAGTAAGAACTGTAGTAGCTTCTATAATAAATAATAAATTTCTTCATAAGAAGAGTACTTAATTAATCATACTAGCGATTCTAGGATAAATATAGAGTTAGATAGTAGAGTTTTCTCTGAGTAATTAAATATATATATATATTAAAAGCTTTCATAACACTACAAAGGCTTACAGCCAACACGTATTCCTATTAGAGAAGCTAAAGCTTACCTCGAAGTTAATAGTATATTGAACAGAATAAACTTATATTGTAAGTAAGGTAGGTAGGTTGGAGTGGCGGCCTTACCAAGAAAGCCCATTTGAGCACAAATAATTACCCGTTGTGGCACCACATGGAAAAAGCGATGTTCGTATATAGATTAGGTGATCAGTACACGACAAACGCCCAACAGAGAGGCAACGATTTCCCCATTAGGTGAAGTAAAACCAACACGACAGTTCTATGAATCTGGCCAGGTCCCTCACATTGTCGGATGACTGCTCAGTCAGATCGGTCAGAAAAGCGGCCACCAAGATTTTTGATCTTCTTCTGGCTAAAGTTGAGCACTGACACATGAGATGTAACACAGTTTCATCCTCGTCCTCAGAGCCACAACCGCGAAAGGTCATTATAAGGAAGACCTAGTCTCATAGCATGCCTTCCTATTAAGCAGTGATCCGTCAGCACCGATACCGTAGTACTGAGCAGATCTCTCTTTTGTTGGAGCAGCTGATTTGTACGTTTTTTGCCCAAGTTAGGCCAAATCGACTTAGAAATGTGACAACTGGGCTCACTTGCCCATTGTTGCTTAGTAATGCTTAGATATTTTTGTTTAATTGCCAGTTTAGCTCTTGCAAGTGGAACGCCAATTTTTAATAAGTGAATACCAGGGAGAAGAGCCCCGGTCTTGGCAAGCTCATCCGCCCTACAGTTACCCGCAATATCCCTATGTAAGAGAATTACAATATTTAAACATCAGTGTTTATCTGTTATCGATATCTATATGAGATATCGACAGATATTATAACTTTCTAATATTTTGTTTTTTTTTTTTGTTTTTTGCGGCAAGAAGGAGTGGAATGCCTAAGCACTGACCACACTCTGACGCCTCGGAAAGTGAGTGCTTGACTCGTATGTATTAAATCATTCCCTCTCATTCCCAGAGATCTTGTCTTTCCCCAAGACTACGTTACTGTTACTTCGAGGTGGGGTTCCTATCTGTCATTTAAGATTTCCATAGGTGTGACCTGTGTCCAGAATCCGCGACTGCTACAGATGATTAACCTTGCCCTTTATTTTGGTGTAATACATCTATTTACTCCAGCTGTCTTCTGTCAAGATCTACTTTTTAAATTATTTCAAATTGGGATTGTCAGTTTTTAGGTTCTGTGCAGCATATATCAAACAACTAGCCAACTGACTTTTAACTTCATCTTACTTAACTACAGAATCAATTCCTAAATGGCATCTGAGGCTATAATGAGGATTACATATGGTTTTGAAATCTTCTATTTGGTAAATGGATAGTACAATGGATTAACAGACCTTAGTGGATCTCTGGGATTACCGTTATGATCTGTGTCGTAACGAGAGTATGATTATGATAATCAAGTTACTTAACTCGTATCAAATAATTCAAATGCGATTGTATCTGATATTTAGTCAAAATTTATCGACATTTGCTAATTTAATCATTGCAGCAAATCTCTAAATTTCAAAAAATTGGATTTGGATGCAGTGGAATAATGCATCCTGTATTAAAAAAGCGCGGCATTGACTTAAATATAGCAACTATTCGATATATATTTACAGTGATAACATGACAAGCATTAAAATATACAATGTGCTATTTAAGAGCTAACAGTCATAACAGTGATCAGACAATAAAATAGTTCAAGTTTATAGCGAGTATATAGAACAGATATTTTTAAATGAAAATTATATATTCAAAAGATTGTGCATCCACAGTTGTTTAAAACAGATAAAGCAGAAGGTGTGGCAAAGTACATGAGACATGTTATCAGGCAACTGTACATATACCTATATATATATATAATATATATATATATATATATATATATATATATATATATATATATATATATATATATTATATATATATATATATATATATATATGTATATATATTAATT